GAAACTAAACCTGCTTATTTATTTTCTTTTTTTATTGTGCCTTTTTACCTACCGTACTTGTGCTTTTGTAGCACAGGTGTAGATGGTTTGCCTTAAACTGCTGTAAAYGATACTCTTAATCTTCTTGCCTCAGTATGAGTTATCCATACTTAAGAATAGAACACACCCAAGAGCATGTAAATTAATTACTGATGAGGGATTTCATTTTAAACAGCTGAAAGAGATATGTGAATAGATTTGCAGATTGACGATTCAAATGATTTGTAAAATGCTGCATACCAAGACACAACACAAATGTTAATCCATCCATATTTCTGCAGCATGTCTGAAGAATGCATAACAGAAAACTTTTTTTTTTTTTTTTACAATAAAGCCAGTGTGCCCAGTTTAACCTTGCTTGGCAACAACAGACCAAAATTGAAACTAATCTTTGGTTTGTGTCATCCGATGCCCTTCTAGGTTTCTTGTTAGAAGTTCTTTCATCATGTTAGCCAAGGAATCTTTACAGCATGCGTGTTTGCTTATAAATATATACCAGTTGCCGAGGAACGATACAATTAGCCTTAGCAGTTGTTGGAGAGAGGATCTCATTCTTTTCGAGAGGCAGAAGTGTGAAAGGTTAACTCGTGGAGTCAAATGAATGTTTATACTGGGAGGATGATCAAATGTTGCCAGCATCATTTTTGGGGACACCACACCCTTTGTCTAAGTTTAACCTTGTTTATGTACAATTTTAGCTTGACATTTTCTCCTCTGCTTTCAGCCCAAGCTTTTCTCACAGACTTGGGTTCTAGTTTGTTGCTAAGATGGGAAATTTGGACTGAGTCAGGTCAGGTTTTTTTCTTTACAATGGGGATAATTTTAAGTTTTTGCCTATGTAGCTGAATGTTTGGTGTAGTTGTCATGCTTCAGGAGTGTGTATGCATTCAGGTAACCCACTCTGTACATTTACCAGCAAAGAATGGATCTACTCTGGATCTTGTCTGGTAATCATCAAATTTTAACAACCAGCTTTGACTCAGAACTGAACACTTAATCCACTTCCTAGAAAATCCAAATAAATGTATACCATGTATCCCTGTTTGTATCATCCATACAAATGAAAAAATATTTTGTAATTTTTTTTTGTATTTATTGAAAAAGTGTAAGTGATTAAAACACAAGGGTAATTGTGGCAATGACGTTTTTTTTATTTTTGTCTCTTTCTCAGCTTTTCTAAACCTGTTCATTAAATATAAGCTTAGTAACAGACATCGCTATGTCTGGGCTTCATTTATACCATCTGTTGGTTTGTGGTGGCTGAATAACTGGAGTGTTAAAAGCAGTACRTATTTATAAAACGTTCTTCTCATTAATCAGGATCAGTGTTCATCCCCCTAATGATTCTCATAAGACCACACAGTCCCCAGCCACTATCCTGTCTTCCAGTTCCCTGCTCCTGCTTTCTAGGAAAAGCCGTCTCTCTAAGCAATTACTCCCTCCTGCTTTCATGATCTCAAGTACCCCTGGTCACTCTGCTCTGCTTCATTTCTCTCTGACACACACACACACACACACACACACACACACACACACAC